GGGTTTCAGGATTGTTGATTCTCTGTTTGGCTTAGTTTTTCGGATCTTTGTTGTGGAGGGACGGCGTGGTGCTTCTGCCTAGACCGCCATCTTGCCCGACACCCAAAAAAACACAGTCTTTTTAACAAATGGTGCTGGCAAAACTGGATGTCCATCTGCAAAAATATGAAACAGGACCCATCAGACCATATACACAAACTAATTCAAAATGGATCAGACCCAAATATAAAACAAAAAACCATAAAGATCATAGAAGAAAAAAAAATAGGATCGATTCTAGAGGCCCTAATACATGGCATTAACAGGATATAAACCATAACTAACAATACACAAACTCCAGAAGATAAGCTAGATAACCTGGATCCTCTAAAGATTAAACACTTACACTCATCAAAAGACTTCCCCAAAAGTGTAAAAAAGAAAACCTACAGATTGGAAAAAAGTTTTTGGCTATGACAAATCCGATGAAGGTCTAATCTCAAAAATCTACAAGAAAATCCAACACCTCTCCAACAAAAAGACAAATAATTCATGTAAAAAATAGACAAAGGAAATGAGCAGACACTTCACCAAAGAAGACATTCAAGCGGCTAACAGACACATGAGGAAATGCTCGTGATCACTAGTCGTTAGAGACATGCAAATCAAAACCCCAATGAGATACCATCTCATTCCGGCATTACTGGCACAAATCAAAAAAATAGGAAATAACAAATGTTGGAGAGGCTGAGGGGAGATCAGAACTCTTATGCACTGCTGGTGGGAATGCAAAATGGTACACTCATTCTGGAAAACGACATGGTGCTTCCTTAGAAAGCTAGAAATAGAAATACCATATGATCCAGTAATCCCACTCCTAAGAATATGTACTAGAGAAATAACAGCCATCACATGAATATGCACACCCATGTTTACTGCAGCATTGTTCACAATAGCAAAAAATATGGAAACAACCTAGAAGCCCATCAACAGATGAATGGATAAACTCTGGTACATACACACAATGGAGTACTACGCAACAATAAAGAACAATGATGAATCTGTGAAGCATCTCACAACATGGATGAAGCTGTTGAGTGAAATAAGTCAATCACAAAAGGACAAATATTGTATGAGACCACTACTATGAAAACACATGAAAGGTTTAACACACAAAAAGAAACAATCTTTGATAGTTATGAGAGAGGGGAGTGATGGGGATGGAAAAACACTAAATAGGCAAAAGATAAGTGGTAACACAGTACACAGTATTAGGGAAGCCAGCACAACTTATCCAAGGCAAGGTCATGGAAGCTCCATAGACACATCCGAACTCCCTGAGGAACTGCATGACTGTCCTGAGGGCTATGGGGACCATGGTCTTGGGGAAACATCTAGCTCAACTGGCATAACATAGTTGATAAAGAAAATGTTCTATATTCTAGTTTGGTGAGTAGTGCCTAGGGTCTTAAAAGCTTGTGAGCAGCCATCAAAGATACTCCACTGGTCTCACCACGCCTGGAGCAGGGAGAATGAATAAAACCAAAGACACAAGGGGAAAAGTAGTCCGAAGGACTAATGGACTACAACTACCACAGCCTCCACCAGACTGAGTCCAGTACAAATAGATGGTGCCTGGCTACCACCACCTACTGCACTTATAGGGATCACATAGAAGGTCTGGAACAGAGCTGCAGAAAAATGTAGAACAAAATTCTAACTTACAAAAAAAGACCAGACTTACTGGCCTGACTGAGACTGGAGAAACCCCGAGAGTATGGCACCAGACACCTTTAGCTCAGTAATGAAGTCACTCCTGAGGTTCACCCTTCCACCAAAGAGTAGACCGGCCCATAAAACAAAATGAGACTAAAGGGTTACACCAGCTCAAGGGCAAAAACTAGAAGGCAGGAGAGGACAGGAAAGCTGGTAATAGGCAACCCAAGTTTGAGAAGTGAGAGTGTTGACATGTCATGGGGTTGGTAACCAATGTCACAAAACAATATGTGTACTAATTGTTTAATGAGAAGCTAGTTTTTTCTGTAAACCTTCATCTAAGGTACAATAATAAAAACCAAAATATTAAAAAAGAAGATGGAAGGAATACACAGTCACTATAAGAGGTTTGCATATGATCAAGAACCATGACAGATATTGAAGGAAGAGGTCCAAGCTGCACTGAAGTCACTGGCAACAAAAAAGTCTCCAGGAATTGATGGCATACTAGTTGAGATGTTTCAATAAATGGATGCAGCACTTGAGGCGCTAACTCATTCATGCCAAGACATTTGGAAGACAGTTACCTGGCCAACTGAGTGGAAGAGATCCATATCTGTACCCATTCCAAAGACAGGTGATCCAACAGAATGTGGAAATTATCAACAATATAATTAATATTACACATAAGTAAAATTTTGCTGAAGATCATTCAAAAGTGGTTGCAACAGTACATCAACAGGGAACTTCCGGAAATTCAAGCTGGATTCAGAAGAGGATATGGAACAAGGATTATCATTCCTGAGGTCAGATGGATCATGGCTGAAAGCAGAGAATATCAGAAAGATGTTTACCTGTGTTTTACTGACTATGCAAAGGCATTCAATTCTACGGATCATAACAAATTATGGATAACATTGTGAAGAATGGGAATTCCAGAACGCTTAATTGAGCTCATGAGGAACCTGTACTTGGACCAAGAGGCAGTCGTTCAAACAGAAGAAGGGGATACTGCATGGTTTAAAGTAAAAAAAGGTGTGTGTATCCTTTCACCATACTTATTCAATCTATATGCTGAGCAAATAATCCTAGAAACTGGACTATATGAAGAAGAAAGCGGCATCTGGATTGGAGGAAAACTCATTAACTACCTGCAATACACAGATGACACAGCCTTGCTTGCTGAAAGTGAAGGAGACTTGAAGCACTCACTGATGAAGATCAAAGACTACAGCCTTCAGTATAGATTATACTCAATATAAAGAAAACAAAGATCCTCGCAACCTGACCAATAAGTAATATGATAAACGGAGAAAATACTGAAATTGTCAAGGATTTCATTTTACTTGGATCCATAGTCAACACCTATGGAAGCAGCAGTCAAGAAATCAAAAGATACATTGCATTGGGCAAATCTGTTGCAAAAGACCTCTTTAAAGTGTTAAAAAGCAAAGATGTTACTTTACGGTCTAAGGTGTGCCTTACCTAGGTCATGGTGTTTTCAGTTGCCTTGTATGCATGTGAAAGCTGGACGATGAATAAGAAAGACCAAAGAAGCTTTGATGCCTTTGAATTATGGTAGTGGCAAAGAATATTGTATACATGGACTGCCAGAAGAAAGAGCAAGTTTGTTTTGGAAGGAGTACAGCCAGAATGCTCCTTAGAAGTGAGGATGATGAGATTTAGTTTCACATATTTTGGACATGTTATCAGGAGGGAGCAGTCCCTGAAGAAGGACATCATGCTTGGTAAAGTAGAGGGTCAACAAAAAAGAGAAAGACCCTCAATGAGATGGATTTACACAGTAGCTGCAACAATGAACTGAAGCGTAACAATGATCATGAGGATGGCACAGAACCTGGCAGTGTTTTCTTCTGTTGTACATAGGGATGCTATGAGCTGAAAGCGACTCGATTGCACCTAACGACAACAACAACATTTCACTGGGTAAAAGTGATGATTAAATGAAAAAAAAATTACGTTAAATACGTAAAACGTCTAGCTTACTATCTAGTACATGTAAGCATTTAATAAATGGTAGCTGTTATTAAGATAAAAACCAGTAAAACCAGTTGCCGTGGAGTCAACTCTGACTCATGACAACCTCATGTGTGTCACAGTAGTACTGTGCCCTATAGGGTTTTCAATAGCTAATTTTTCAAAAGTAGATTGCCAAGTTTTTCTTTCAAGGCCCCTCTAGGTGGCTTCTAACTGCCAACCTTTTGGTTTGTAGCTGAATGTGTTAACCATTTGCACAACCAGGGACTCTGTTGTTGAGGTAGTAGTGGTTTATTATTCCTATTTTTATCATTATTATTGGATAAATGCAAAGACATATTTCATTGGGAAGGAGATTGTTCTGATGAAGCCAAGAGACAATACCAACTGCAGCGACTGCAACGGAGCCCTGAGACATTTCCAGTGACTCACCACCCTTACCTCATGCCTTCCTGCAGCTCAGTGTCCAAACACCTAGCTACACATTGAAATCAAAGCGTATGTCCATCCACAGATGAATGGATAAACAAAATGTGGTATGTACATACAATGTAACACTACTCAGTCATAACAGAAATGAAGTTCTGATACATGCCACAACATGGATGAACCTGGAAAACATAATGCTGAGTGAAATAAGTCAGTCATGAAAACAAATGTTTTATGATTCCACTTATATGAAATATCTGGAATAGACAAATGCATAGAGACCAAAGTTCATTAGTGCTTTCTAGGGGTGGGAGAGAGGAGGAAAGTCAGAGTCATTGTTTAGGGGCCACTGAGTTTCTGTTGATGGTGTTGGAATAATTTGGAAAAGGATAGTGGTGATGGTTGCACAACATGATGAGTGTAATCTATGTCAATGAATTATACATGTAAAAATGTTGAATTGCATAAATTTTACTATATATATTTTTATGGTAATAAAAAAAGATCAAAGGGTGCTGCCCAGGTCCTACCCCAGACTGAATGAAAACTGCCAGAGACGGGCCCAGGTAGTGCAGGTTTCAAAAGCCCCTCAGTAATGTCCCGATTCTGCCCGAGGCTGACACCATGGAACCCACTGTACACTGATGGTGGGGGGTCCGCCAGTAGCAGCATTTAACGTTACGATTTATTGTCACACAGAGTTTCAAGTGACTAAGGGACAGTCTCGGCACTGCCCAACTCCTCCCACCCTTCCCCAAGGCTGTGTGCTCTCTTGATAACTACACTTCCCTCTGGGACTAAATTGATGTTTGCTGTAGATGGACATCTCGACTTACATGAAAACAATTGTTGGAACACAGAGTAAACGTGGGGATACATTGGTGATTTTCCTAGGTCTGCCCTTCCCAGGGCAAAGCCCTGGCAGACACAAGTCACCCCCTGGCTTTTCTTGCTGGATGGGAACTTGCAGCCCTTCTTCCCCTGTACTCTTCATTTCAGTGCGGTTTTTCTATTCACAATGAAGTCTTGGATGATCTCTGTAGTGACTTTCTTCTCTCATGCTCAAAGAGATATACTAGTGAGTGTGGAGGGGTAGAGGTGGCCTATGCCTTCAGCCACGTTTCCTTAATGCCTCTTGGGAGCATCCTTGGGGGACAAGTGCTATTGAAGCAGTATTCCAGTCATTGCACAGGCTGAGGCTCCATTAGATTTGTCCTGAAGAACCTGCCACAGGGTGGGAAGGTAGTGATCTCAGGTAGAAATAACATGATGTTAAAGCCTGAAGCTCGGCAAATACCAGACTCAGGCTCACATTCCTGGTGCTTATCAATCGTTGGCTTGATTTTCAAGGTTCAGTCGCAGTGAGTGGAATCAATATGTCCACCTGAGTGTGGAGAGGTAAGAAATTGGGGTGGAGAGGAAAGGATAGGAAATCAGGAGGCAAGAATTCTAGTCCAAATCCCACCATAAATCAGTGCTATAGACATGGACAAATTACTTTCCTGACCTCAGTCTCCTCAGTACAAAAAAACCACTGGTGGTTTTCAATATCTCTCCTTGCTTCATGCTGGCCACAGACAATGTGTTTCACATGGGGACCTGGAGGACTTTTTAATAATTCAGAGCCTGCTGGAATGCCTCAAAGCCCAGAGCACACCAGTTGAGGACCACTACATTAATGACCTTTGCGGTCCCTCTGGGCTGGGCCCTGGTAAACCAGGAAATACCCAAAGCTACCTGAGGGAGATGCATTCCACTGCTGTAGTGAATGGGAGTTGTGTGTTGGCTCTTGGAATTGTTTTAGGTAATGAATCTGGCTAAGAAAATTACCATGTGCCTTGTCCCCTGGCTCCTCTCCACCCCCCTCCTCCCCAAGTGGCACCTCCTCTGGCTGGCTGTTGCTGGCTTTGCCTACACACGGCGGGGCTGGGCCATATGGCAGTTGTGGGTTTAATGTAAAGAGGGCAAATTAAACGGTAATTGCCCTTCCCAGTCATCCTAATAATTAGATGGTCAGGCCATATCTGCAAGGCTCTTAGTGTTTGGAACGAATGGTTCAGTGTTGCAACCCCTATTGCCACATGGCCTAGGGTGACTCCAGAACATTCTTTTGCCAAGAGCAATGCCTTCCTCACAGAAAACTCCTAAGATCGCTCAGAATGCACAGGTGAAAGGTGCCCCAAAAGCAAAAATTCTGGTTTCCAACCAAGAAATGGATGAGTTTCCTCTTGAGATGTGGGGAAGTTTTAAAAACGGGTTGCTTGAATAGAACACCATTTTACCCTGTGTCCTGCCTTCCCCTTATCTTAGCTAGAGGCACTAAAATGGAAGGATCTGACTGAGGACATGGCATTTGCTCATTTGCAGATATTCACCAGTCAGTTGAGAGCCGAGTGTATGCCCAGCCAAAGCCAGCTTGTTGGCACAAGTAGTTTTTCCCTTGAAATGTTGCCCTTTTGTCTACATGAGCTAATACAAACCCTCACCCACCATCAAGGCTCAGCACAAACATCACTCTTTCATGACGGGGAGTGTAAGCCTGGCCTCTTCTGAGTCCTGTGGTACTTGCTATCTTGTTAACCTATTTACCTGGCTTCTGCCTCTACACACTTGCCAGGGTGCAGGTTTCTGGAAGGTAGGCAGTATACCCTAACCACTCTTGTACACTACCTCCATGCTCAGCGTACTGCTGTGCACATAGCAGGAGGACCATCAGTTGTCTCCACATGCATATTAAATCATACGCAAATCTTTTTGGTTTGGGCTCTTTCAACGTTATTAGAGGGAAAAAGGGAAATACCACAGTAAGAAGAACTTTGAAGTCCTTTGGAGGCATCAAGTGAGTGTCTGCAATATCCTTGAGGGTTTAGACTAGCGTTCAGCAGAGACTGAGATATTTGGCCCAACAGAGAGAGAAGGAATAATTGCTGTTTTCTGTGGTTCCTGATGGTTTTTCTGGTTCCAATTTCAGTTCTTTCCTCCCCAGCTATTGCTCTCTGGCACCCAGGGCCATGGGCTGCTGCTCATCAACCCTTCTGGGCCCAGTGCTGTTTGGAGGCTTTGATTTCACAGGGACTTTCACCGGCTGCCCAGGGACGCAGCTTCAGGCTGACCAGCTATCCTGGTTTGTCAAGGGATGAGGGACTTCAGGACTAGGACCAGAAGTCCTGGCTGGCCCTGTGAGGCAGCATCCATGCAGCTTCAGGCATCTGATGGACCATGCAGGGTCAGGAGGGAGGGAACCTGGTCACACAGGCAATGATAGCTAAGACAGTCAAGGTAGGAGGCCCAAGCTGAAGCAACTCCCAGCTAAACTGTGCTCTCTGGGAACCACAGCACTTGGCAATAAAATAGCCCAGACAAGACTTACCGTGCCAGCTCCAGCTTATCATGCAGAAGATTTATATGCAGCGCACTGAAGGCCCAGCCACCACATCAGACAGAGGTAAACAGAGAGTGAGGGACAGGCCAGCCTGGGTCTCCTCTAAGGGCACAGGGAGCCCTGGAGCCTCACTTAGAGAGGCCTGAGGTGAGTTTGAGCAAAGTTTCAGGGAGAGCAGCAGTGCTCTGGAGCAGGCCCAGGGCCAAGGGCAGTGGAGGCCCACACTCCCTGCCCACAGCCAGGGCTCCATCAGCAGAGAGGCTTCAGACCCAGTGTGAGCCGGTGGATTTTGCATGAGTTGATTTCTGACATCTTTGCCCAGTGGTGATGCAGCTCACAACGTTTATCTCTCCTTTAATTATTAAAGATATCAAAGTCAGTGCCTTACTGCAATGAGAGACTTAGTTGGTACGCTATCTGGGGAAAGTCATGTTATTTTGATCTTTTTATCCTTTTTGGCAGGTCAATATAGTCTTCAAAAATACCAAGCGAAGAGAAAGTGGCTTCATGTTCACAATCCCCTTAGGACAAAGTGTTTTTAAAATTCCCTGAAGAATACTAAATATATCTTTGGAAAGTAACAAAATTAGTCAATTCGCTGGATGTTGGAAGATTAATAAAACCACTTACATTTGTCTTTGAAGAGATTCTGTGCACTGCTGCAGAAGATGTTCTTTTACTTGATGGGGAGACACCACAACAGCAGGCTTGCCAAGGCAGAGACATGAGAGGTGGGTTATGACCTGGCAGTATCCAGAGAGCGGGAGACAGTAACTGCTTACTGGAGAGCTTATGCTTGTTCTAGCTCTAGGTCCAGCCCACAGACAGCCTCAAAATAAACCCCTTCTCCATGGTAATGTCAGTGAGTTTCTATTGTCTACATCTAGGACAGCAGACAGCTAGACACCATGCCTATCCGATAACACAGGACATCAACAACCCCAACTCAGCAGTTAGATATGGAGCTTGAGGAGAATTTTTTTTTTTTTAATGGAAAGGGAAAAAAATCTACCATAAGCATCCTTTTGAATTTAGAAAGAGTTACTTTTTCAGGACCTGGTACTTTTCAGAATTGTGTGTGTACAAACCATCACTGAAACTAAAAAAAAAGAATTTAGGCCATTTTTTTCCTATCCATCAATGGCTATTCTGGTGTTCCTGATGATTTCACAAAGCCTGAGTTATTTATTTTTTGAAGAATGTTATTTCTGGAGACAATTTTCATCAGTGAGTCAACTTCTGTTGCTTGTATTGGTTTCACCTTTTATTTTCTTTTCCCTGCTGCTCTTTCGGCTTTCACCCTTTATTAAACCCTGATCTAAAGAAGGATGTCTGCTCACTGACATGCTGACAACTGATAAGTCACCCCACACATTCACCACACACGCAACACACACACACCTTACATACCACATCATATCACACATACCACATACACACTTCAGATACCACATCTCTCTCTCTCTTTATTTCACATGCACACATGCACACACATACACACACACCTCACATACCACACCACCCCCCCACATACCTCACCAAACCACACCAATATACCACAGACACACATCTCATACACACACTTCATCACACCATACATATCACACATACATCACACACACACACACCACACACACATACACCACACATGCACACCTCACATACCACACCACACACATACACTCATGCCACATATACTTCACCACACCACACCACACATACCGCACACATACCTCACCATACCAAATACACACCACACATGCAGACATGCACATACCTCGTCACATCACATATACCCATACCACATACACCACACATGCCACACATACACCTCACCACACATCACACATGCATATACCTCATCACACCACACATAACAAACACTGCACACACAGAACACACAGAACACACACACCACACACACCACACACACCACACACACACTTCAGCACAGCACATATACCACAGACACCCCCTCACTGTACCACACATACAACACACAAACCACACATACCATAGACTCCCTCACTACACCACACATACCACACACCACACACACAGACATACATACCATACCACACCCACACACAACACATGCAGACACATGCACACTTCACCATACCACTAACGTGCACACATGACACACACACGAAACACATGACACACACACACACACCAGACTCACTCACTTATACAGAGTGCAGAGTGTAAATTTTTCTCCAAAGCTGACTGCATCATAAACACTTCATTTTCCAAAAACTTATGTGTGTCTCTTCTTACTGCTATCAGTGAAGAGGTTGATGAGCTTATGGTGTTTGGCGTGCTGGTTTTCACGAGGAAAGTTCCTATGGAGAGGAGTGCACTAAGGCAGGTTGTTACTGCTATCAGTGGCTGACTCTGTGAGTTTCCCCATGTGGAGGCAGAATGGCTCTTCCTGGATGAGAAAGTTGAAATTTGTGGCTTCTATTCCAGGCCTCCGGTCAATAAAAAGCAGCAACTTTGGATAGTTCAGGAAATGATAGGGAAAATTGCTCAGTTCCATTATGAATGTGAGGAGCAATCCCTGAAGTTCTAACTGATCTCCTTCTAGCATCTTTATTTTTTATGGCACTTGAAAACCTCAAAGAACTCTTCTATACCATGTTTCATAACGTCTGTTCCACTGCAGAGTGGAGATGTGTTGGCCTTCTCACCAAATGCTCGCCAAGCAGTCAGAACCTCTGAGAGACTAACGGATAGATCCCTGATCACACAGTCTTCAGAATTTGCCAGGACAAGCTCAAGAGTTGCCCTGTTTCTCTTTACATGGCAAAGAAACTTAGTTCTTTAACTTGATTGCTCTAAGATCTTTCATTGTGCTGTTTAGCCAGTGATGTGATTTAAGTTAACAGAGCTAGCATGCAATTCGGTAGATTTCCAAGGGCAGTCTGTAAATTAACCTAGATAAAGCATGTAAATTGTTATTTCACAGCAGTGGAGCTGGTACAGCCTCTGCTCTGAGAGCAGCCTACTGCTCCGACAGCAGCCTACTGCTCCTCTCGTCGCAACACCTGCTTCTGAAACATAAGACAGGCCTTGTATGCGGGCCTCTCAGTTCCTGCTGATGACACTTGAAGAAGTGCCTTTTTGGAGCTTTTATATAATCTTTTCTTCAGCACTTCCTCTTGCCCTCTAGTTTAATGTATGCCAAAGATACTGGTAAAGAGAGCAAAGTGTGTTTGTTTCACAGTCCCACCAGTTTTTCGTGCATGCCAGAAAATGCTTGAAGTGGTCATGTTGGTGACTGATGAAGACACGCTTGAGGGAGGATGAGGATTTTCCACATGAGTCCCCTCCAGTCTTTAGCATACCTTTGTTCACCTAACTGAGGTTGTGCAGGAGGGAAGTGGTTCATCTGAAACTGACTATTCCAGAACTTTGCTATTTCTCTGAGAGCAGTAGCCACCTAAACTCTCGTTGTAAAGAGCAGGGCTGGCAACCCTGGTTTAGCCTGAAAGTGGGGATTCTATTGTTTGTTCCTGTTTCTTTTATATAAATCCTGTATCTCCAGTTTCCTTGGGGGTAGGAATCATGATTTATACTTGTTGATTGTTTAGCAAGTGCTCTGGAAATGCCCCCTAGTGAATTGATGGGTGGGGAGACATTGATAAAATCCATACTGCCTGTATTTCTGGTCAGGACCTTGTCTACCCAGACTAGAGAATCCCACCTAAACAAGAATCCCTCCAGGAATGTTGGAATTTCCTGGTGGAGGAGAAGAGCTATAAATCTCTGTTAGTCCATCTGATCTCTTCACCCACAGTCTTGGGAGCTTTCTGTTCCCTCAGATCAGGGCATATACCAGCAAAGTGGCTGAGAGCATGAGTTTAGTGTCAGGCTCCCTGACTCCCAGAGTCACCACTCAGGTGAGTGACCTTTATTTAGGCCAGTTACTTAACTGGGGACTCTGCTTCCTCACCTTTAAAAGGGGATAATAATGGTAAGTACCTCACTGAATGAAGGCATTGGTAGTCCAGAGGTAGAATTCTCACCTTCCATGTGGGAGACCCAGGTTCAATTCCCGCCAATGCATCTCATGAACAGCCACTGCCTGTCTTTCTGTGGAGGCTTGCCTGCTGCTATGATGCTGAACAGGTTTTAGAGGAGCTTCCAGATTAAGACAAACTAGGAAGAAATGCCTGGTGATCTACTTCCAAAAAATCAGCCAGTGAAAACCGAATGGATTACAACGGTCCCGTCCGCAACCAATTTATGGGGATGGTGCAGGACAAGGCAGCTTTTCTTTCTGTTGTGCATGGGGTCTCCATGAGTTGGTGGCCAACTTGACAACCACTGACAATAATAACAACCTCACAGGATTATGAAGGTAAATGATTTAATCCATGTATAGAGCTTAGAACAGTGCTTGACATGTACCATGTGTTTAGTGAATGTTTAGGGAATGCTTGTGGATTTGGGTTGGTTATAACCCCTTTCCATCTTCTCTTTGGTTTTACTATTGGCATCTTGAATGTGCACGGTTCTTCAGGCTATATACACAGTTGTACCAAATAATTTTTCCTCAACTCTCTTTCTTCAAGTTCAGCCCCTTGTTTCCAGTGGCTGAGCAGAGGAGGAAGCTCTTCTCCTTGTAAGTTGATGGGCTTTGCAATGCCAGTCTTTGTTTGGCTTCCTCAGAGTTGGAATCGACTCGATGGCAATGGGTTTGGTTTTTCTTTTTTTTTTTTTTTTGGTTTCTGCAGGGACAGGAGAAGGGAGACTTACTCCCATTTAGATCATCTCCTTTGTTCAAACCTAAGTCCAGATTTTTACCCTTCCAAAGGAGAGATCTGTGCATTTTTATTTTCTTTGGGATCCCTGTCTCCTTTTTTGTCTTCTACCTTCTCTGGCAGACTGTATGCCCAGATAAGGTCCAGAGATTCTCCAGGGCAGCAGGCACAACCCTATAAGCCAAATTCAGTTTACAGTTACACTACTTAAAAAACAAATCAAATGAGAGGCCAACACAAACACTTACAATTAGGATGCTTTCAAAATTTGGGGTTTCTGGCTTCTCCTGAAGAACAGAGGATCAGGCAACACTGGCCTTTCTTGCCCAGGGCAAGCCCCTGCTGCAGCTGAGGAAATGTGACATGTGGGCTCTCTCCAGGTCACCACCCTCCACACCAGCTTCCACTGACCTCCCTCATCTGCCCACTACCTGGATCGTGGAGCAGCAGGAAAGCCTGAGCATAGAACCAGCCTGATGTAGAGGCCTTGGACCAAGACCTGCTGTCTGGTCATGGGCTGGTCCCTACACTTTTTCTTTCTTAATCTGTGGTAGGGGCCCTGGTGGTGCAGTGGCTGAGAGCTACGGCTACTAACCAAAGGTTGACAGTTCGAGTCCACCAGCTGCTTCTTGGAAACCCTATGAGCAGTTCTACTCTGTCCTATAGGGTTGCTATGAGTTGGAATCTACTCGATGGCAATGGGTTTTGTTTTTTTTGTTTTTTTTTTTTGGTTAATCTGTGGTAAGAGATGAGCGCACTGGGCCTCTAACTTGCATAGCCATTGAGAAGAACTCAGGAGCTCATGGGCATAACAGTGCTTTGTGAACAGCAATGCAAATATTGGCTCCCTCATTGTTCTCATGGAGCTTCCCAGGGGCCATCTGTGTTGCCTGCTCGAGATGTTGTGCCAAATGTCCCTCGCCTTTGACTCTGAAGACAATGACTTCTGCTCTGGGTGTTGGAAGCCATAACACTAACTATCAATCCAGGAAAGTTATTCTCTTCCC